GGAAGGAGGGAAGGAAGAAAGACAATGTTGCAAGATGAGGCCAAAGAGAAAGCCACTGTACCAAGTATGGATTTGAAGGAAATAAGAACACAGGAAGCAACACTCAGAATTACATTTTAGAAAGAGTGCTCCATTGGAGGGAGTGGGGATGCGTGTCATTTATTCAGCAAACATCTGTGTACTATCCTGGGTCCTGGACTCTAGAGTTAATGGTTTGGTGAAAGAGACAGAGGCAGGCTGACGACGACCTTGAACAGGATGAGTGATGGGGGTCAGAAGAGCGCTGTGGAGATGTCCTGGGCCAGAGGGAGTCAAGGAAGCCTCACAGAGGAGGTGGCTTTTGAGCTAAGCCATAGGAAGTGAAGGAAGGAGTTGGCCAGGCTGTTCTAGGTAGAATAGCAGGTGTAAAGCTGTGAAGGGTGAAAGACCATGGCTGTCTGAGCAATGGAGAGAAATTCACAATGACCAGTTTAGGTGGAATGGGGGCAGTGACTGAAGAGTAGATTGAAGAGGAAGGTCAGTAGATACACTTGTAGGCTGAGATTAGGAATTTGGATTTAAGCCTATAACTTGAGGGGGAATCAGAGACCTCTTTGAGAACATGAAGCTCTCTTTAGAAAAATGCACATAAATCCGCAAAATCTACATGTAATTTCAGGAATTCAGAAATCTGCAGTTAAATCTCACTGCTGTGGACAGTGGGGAGCCATTGAAGAATTCCTAAACAATGGAGCCAAATCAGATTTGCCCTTTAGAATGTTCACGGAGGGAGGCTGAAGAGAGAGAGAGACTGGAGGAGAGGGGATCGGTTAGGAGGTTGTCCCGAGACACTGGGTATAGGGCAGTAAGGGCAGAGTCGACGATGGTATCTGTGGGGGAGAAGGAGAGGGCCCTATGGGGATGTGCCAGGATATAATGACACACTGGATGGTGGATAGGATCAAAATAAGTGACAGGAAAATGGTAATGCCATTGTCCCCAATATCGACTCTTCCCTTTCTCCTTAGTAATAGAATCATTAACTTTTAGCTGGACACATGGCCACCCAGAATAGAGACACCATCTCCCAGCCGCCCTGCAGCTTGATGTAGCCATGTAACTAAGTCCTGGCTAATGAGATGTGAGTGAAGTGACGTATGCAAACTCTGACTGCTGTGTGCAAAGAAAGGGAAGTGCTTTCCCCCTTCCCACTGGCTGGAATGTGGTAACAATCCATCTTGATCCATGAAGATGTGGCCAATACCCTAGGAATCATACAATAAACAGCAAGTCAGAAAAAGCTTAGGCCCCAACACCTTTAACGCACCAAATCTGCTCAGGACTACTTATTCCCATTGGATACATAATTAAGAAATAACCTTCTAATTTATTTAAGCCATGTACATTTGGAACTCTGTGGCAGTGGGGGTTGGACAAGCACTCAGTACCCCATGGCAGTCTCAAGGAGCTAATGCTATGGTTAGTGAGTTGAGTTCGGGAAGGTTTTCAGAAAGAGCATCCTCATATCTCCTCACAGTACCAGCCCTTGCTCAATGCCCACAGTGGAATCACCCAGCCCTCAGCCCTGCAAAGGGTGCAGCCTTGTGTTGTCCTAGAAGATTCCTAAGCACAGGCTCTGAAGCCAGTCCTTCAGTGAGACATGCCTATGAACTGGCCTGGTGCGGAAATGTGGGCATTTTAAACCATTTGAATTAGCTGAGAAATTTGAATCAGGAAACACGCAGAGTTTCAGGCAGTAGCGGTGGGTTAGGGTTAGAGTGAGAAGTCATGAGATGGAGCGAGGCATGGAAAAAAGAGATAGAGTTTGCATATGTACAAGTGAAGGCAGGTTGAGAGTATGAACTAGGAGCAGCTATGAGGAGAGAAAAGACGGAGAGAGAAGAATAAACCTATCCAGCAGACTCCTGTGGACTGTCTGCCAGGTCTTCCTTCCCCGGCCCTCTCCCCTTCTCAGTCCCTCCACCATTTACATGACTTCAACAGAAGCTGCCACATTCCTCTGAGAAAACTTGGTCCCTGGCCATCGAAGGAGAGACCCTTGGGCCTGGGCCATCAGACCCTCTCCCAGGAATTTTGGAGCTGGGACTTAGAATAAGAGAGATTCAGTGTCCTTCTGAGCGTCTGTCTGGGTTGTAATGTGTAGATCTCAGAGCCCCCAGTGGCTGGTT